TTCTCCATTGAAATGATCATGAAGTTTCTCTCTGTTTATGTCTCTCTGTGTGGTACAGCACATGACTGCATTTGTTGATTTACCTATATTTAATAATCCATGGATCTCTGGATGAAGCTGATTTGACCATGGTGAATGATCTTTTTGATGTGTTGTTATGCTCAAGTTGCAGGTACTGGAAGATCCACCCAGGAGCTGATTCTGATACATTAGGGTCTTTATTACAAGCTCTTGAGAGCAAGATCTCTCAAATTCTTACTGTCACAGCAGGCCAGAGTGAGAGCCCCAAGTCTAGGGATTCAGGGTTTTTATTGTGGTTACAGCAAATGTGGGAAATTTTCATATGGGTTAGCAAGTTAAGATTTTTAAAACTGCATTTCTGGTGTAATCTGCAGGAATCGAACAGGAGGGCAGAAACATCTGACAAACAGGATGGTCAGGTTATCTATTCTCTGCAGAATGTCTTAGGCTATCTCTACGTACCTTGGTCCTATTATTGTAGCCTGGTTGTTGCTAAGGGAGTGAGGGTAGGGGGTGTCATAGGATGTTTTTCTTTCTGGAATTGGAGTTTAGCCCCTGGTCTCACACAAAATGGAGTTTCTTTTAAAACGGGGTTGGTTGAGTTTTACATTATTGAACTACATTTGCAAATATTTTAATTGCAAGTTATTGTCTCTGTGTTCATCATGAAAGCTGACCTATAATTCTACTTTTTTGGTTGGTTTTGGTTTGGTATTGATATCAGGTTAATACTGGCTTTGTAAAAAGACATTGGAAGAGTTCCTTGTCTTCTTTGAAGGTCTAGAAGAATTCTGTGCTAAATCCATGTGTGTGTGTGTAGATTTTAAATTACTGTTTCTATCTCAGAGTTCTGGATCTGTTTAACTTATATATTTCTTAATTTTAGTAGAAAAAAAAAGGAAGAAAAAAAAGAGAAAGTCACTCCAAAGAGCAGAGCAGGTGTTTGAGCACACGCCTTTCCCAGATCCCTAGCCTATCCTCTAATTTTGTATGTTTTCATTTTCATTCATTTCAATGAATTTTTTGAAATAGGGTCTCAGTTTCCTGGCAGGAGCTCTTTCCTGAATATATTTGTGCTATTATTTTCTAAGATTGGCTTCTTGTGACTGGAGCACATAGTGTATATTATTTTTCTCTTGTATATATATTCTGGTTTGTTTAATGGTGCAGCATAAAGGTGTTAACACAAAATGACATAAAAAGGCAAATCTTGCTTCAAAGAGTATTTTAAAGCTAAATTTGAATGAATGACTGACTGGGAACACATAATTGAGTTACTCCAAATTCCACATACCTATGTGGTGGCAGTGGTAGTGGTGGTGGTGTGTGTGTGTAATTTATTTTATTGGGTTCTAATATCTAAGACCATCCATTAAAGGCATGCGCCACCACTGCCTAGCTTCCTTGAATATTGTAAACAGGATTCAATAAAGTCAACCATAGGTTAAGAGGCAGAGCAAGCAGCCAGTTGATAGAAAGTAAATATAGGATTATTAAGAAAAAACCATAGAGAATAAGAAGAGGCAGGAGGATAAGTAGAGAGATACATAGGGAATAGAAGGGAGGGTCATTCAGTTTGAAGGAGGGTTTTGATATGGTTTAAGAGGGGGCAGTGCTGGTGGTTGTCAGCTAAAGAGGAAGATTAGCTGGGTGCTTTCTCTGTCTCTCTAAGCCAGCAGGGTTTCACCCCAGCATCTTGCTCCCAAGTCTTCTTTGGTAAAATCAAATGATTAAGATTTTGTTTAACCTGGGAAGGGGGGTGGGGAATGGGTTAAGGGGATAATATCTGAACTGTAAATAAAATATCCAATAAAAAAGATTTTGTTTAAAATAACAATAAAAACAAACAAACAAACAAGCAAAGCTACCATATGTGTTGGGTACTAAGGGGCAAGTCCAATCTTCATTATCAGAATATTTGGCAATCCAGCAATAATAGCAAAGCAGCAATCCAACAAACACAACAGCAAATGCAGCAGCAGGAAACAGGAGGGACTAGAAGCAACAGTGCAGGGGGTTGGGGGCGGCAGCAGCAGGAGGAGAAGCCACCGCCACAGACCCTTTCCCATTTAAACCTTCTCCAGAGTCCCCTGAGTTAACCTATCTGCATGTGGCAAAACTCACACCGCTGTTAGTTCATGAGGCAAATCATAATCACTTGATGTGAAGCAGTTTATCCCACACCTGGAATTAAAACAAAAACCTAGTCACATAACATAACTGGGTTTTTAAAGAAACCAAAATCCTCACTACACCTGTGAAGTAGCAATTTTAAAACTTTTTGTGGAAAAGAATAAAGAATATCATGAATCAGCACACTTCTCAAAACATTGGTGTATTGGAACATCAGGCATGTGCATGCCCCACTTTATTTTTTATTACTGTGATAAACACCATGACTAAAAGCAACTTGTGAAGCAAAGGGTTTATGTGGCTTACCCATCCCAGACGCAGTCCCTCACTGAGGGGTGTCAGTGCAGGAGAACAGACACAGGAACCTAAAGAAACCTAAAGGCACAGACCACTGAGGAATGTTGCTTACGAAAGCCTAACCAGCACACGGGCCACAGAAAACAGGATGTCTCAGGTATATATAGGCCTCAGATGCCATCTGATGAATATTCTTAGGCTTTGGGTGGTGAATGTTAGGTGTCCACACATTCTAAAGTATTCATTTAATTGTCACAAAGATGTTAGTTCACAAAGGAGGACAATAAATGGCTATTAAGGGAACTAAAAATGGTGCAAAGTAATATGGCTATGGACTTGTATTCTGGCTGGTTAACTTGACACAAGCTAGAATTATCTGGGAAAAGGGATCTTAACTGAGAAAATGGTTCCATCAAGATTACCTATAAGCAGTTTGCCATACATTTTCTTAATTAATGATTGATGGGATGGATCAGCTCACTGTGAGTGGTGCCATCCCTGGGTGTATAAGAAATCAAAATTAGTGAACCAGAGAGAACAAGCCAGTAAACAGCATTCCTCCATGGCTTTTACTTCAGTTCTAGTCTCTAGATTCCTGCCCTGCTTGGATTCTTGCCTTGAATTCCCTCAGAGATGAACTATTACCTAAAAGTGTAAGAAGAAATAAATCCTATCTTCCCCAAGTTAATTTTGATCATAGTGTTTGTAGTGGTTTCAATCTGCTTGGTCCAGGGAGTGGCATTATTAGGAGATATGGCCTTTTGGAAGCAGGTGTGGCCTTGTTGGAGGAAATGTGTCACTGTGTAGGTGGGCTTTGAGGGGGGTTTCTAGTGTTCAAGCTCTGCCCAGTCCAGAGAAGTCAGCCTCCTTTTGATTGTTGTCAGAGAAAGTTGTAGAACTCTTGGCTTTATATATCTCATCATATCTGCCTACATACAGCCATGCTTCCTGCCATGATGATAATGGACTGAACCTCTGAATCTGCAAGCCAGTGCTAATTAAATGTTGTCTAGGATATTAAAGTGTCAAAACATTGTTCTTATATTTCCTATTTCTATCTTCATTTGTCAGTACTTGCTACATATATTTTACTGATATTTTATTATGTACATATGCATGTATATTCTTCTGGTAGTTTCATACTGATATTTTGATTTAATAAAACAGTGTGGTATTGTCATAAAACCACATAAATAAATAAACTATGTCATCAACTAACCACTGACAAATTCAAGAAGGCTATACACACACACACACACACACATACACACAAAGCTATTTATTTATTTATTTATTTATTTATTTATTTATTTAATTTTTTTTCTGAGACAGGGTTTCTTTATGTAGCTGCTGCTGGCCTGGAACTTTCCTCGAACTCACAGAGATCCAGGACATAATATTTTTAACACCACTTGTGTTGGGTAAATATGCAGAAGAATATGTATTTCCTTTATACATACAGAAATATCAAGTCAAAATGGATTAACCACTAAAATTTAATAACTGAAGCTATAAAACTTTTATAAGAAAAAGGTGAGAAGAAACTTCCCCAAAATTCATGCTTGTTTTTTTTTTTTAATAGCATGACCCCAAATCCACAGAGAATTTTAAAAAATTGTACGTGTGATTATGGCAAACTAAAAAACGTATTGGAAAAAACCCCATGAACTAGGTAAAAACTTAGCTTACAAATCAAATATTAATGTTGCTATCCAAGATATTAAGGAATTCATAGAACTTAATAGCAGCAAAACCAATTAACAGGATTCTTATATTTAAGTCTGGAAGACACACCTTAAAATCCACCTTGTTCTCGACTTCCTGGAAAAACAGCAGCGTGAGAAGGGGTTTGGGTCTTTTGACTGACAGAAGCAAGGTCCTCAAGGAAAATGAGTGTAGAAGTCAAGGCAGGTGTGGGCTCGGTTCAAAGACTGGCTTCTGTCTCATTGCATGAGTCCAGGAATATTCCTGGATCAAGAGTGGAAAGACCTAGCCCCTTTATACATGTGATCTCCTCAGGTTTAGTGGTTCCCTCCAGAGAAGGGCAGCTTTCTGAAGATCGGGAGCCCACTGATCGCCAATCACATCAGGATCGCTTAATCTGCAGGCTCGCCCCAGACCCAGAAACGCGTCTCGATCTGTCAGAAAACTGGGGCCATAATACCAGGAAGAAGTGGGTAGGACTGATACACATAAAAACCAGCCTCACAAGAAACCAGCAGCTAAAAACTGCAGGGACAATGGACAGCGCCAGATGCGCCTGGCTCAGGTGCTTGAGTCAAGGGGTGAAGGCGCCGAAATTTGGAATCCTGAGCGGGCAGGGCAGGTGAGGGAGTCTCGGTGACACCGGAAGCGAGGCTCCTGAGTGGACCAGCCGGGGATTACGTGGGCCTTTCGGTTTCGGAGTGGGCAGAGACTCACGGGAGGATCACCCCACGGCCGGTCCGCGGAGAACGTCATCAGGGAGCGACCGCGGGCGCTCGCCACTCGATGTATTTCCGGTGCGCGAGGCACTCTGGGAAGCAGGTCTTGACAGTCCGGGTGTGGGCTCTGGGTGCGGGTTTGTGGCGCCCGCTGTTACACTTAGTTTTGGGCCGTCCCGCCCAGCGGCTGTGCAGAATGCGGCTGGGCTCCGGGGCCTTCGCTGCCAGCTGCGTAGCGATTGAGGTGATCGGGGTCGCGATCTTTATTCGGGGATTCTTCCCGGCTCCTGTTCGTTCCTTTGCCAGACCAGAGCACGGTGCAGAGACCCCAGCGCCCGAACCCGTAGCAGGTATAGCTCCCCGCCCCCTTCTCAGTGTTTCCCGCTTTCATTCTGCCCCACCAACGAAACAAATTGTATTGTTTTAGCGTTGCTTATGTTTAATACACCTTTGAGACATCCGCAGCCTCTGGCCCTATGTGGACCTACGTGATAATCAGAATAAACCCCGATAATTCCAGCTTTGCATCTTGTTTGGAGTTATTCAGTGATTCGTACCCCTTTTTCCTAATAACCTTTCAACCACTCACAATTTAGGTTTCTAGTTTTGATATTTCCTCAGACCCCCCCTCCCAGTTTTCTACAACTCTCCCCCAGAACACTTCCCGCCCCTCAGTAGTTAAAGCCTCTGCATTAGGACCCTACTATCCTCACCAACACAGAAATAAACACCTGATAACAACTCTGCTGCTGTGAACAGGTCCACATAATCACAGCCACTGGACATGTAAGCCCATAGGTTCATTGCCTGCAAGGCTAGGTTTTAGGCCAAGCTCAGGGAGGCACAGGTCACAGCTGTACGACTCTTAGGTAGAGGTGTCCCTGTCCTGGACTCTTCACCGTGCTAAGAGCAGTTCACTACACATTCCTGGGATACCCACTCATTGTTAACATATTGTCCAGCCTAGCCAGGAGATGACCTTGGTAGTCTGTCATCTGCAGGCTGGTTACAACCCTTGAAGGAACCTTCACAGTTGTCTTGTTTGGTTTCTTAGAAAATTAACACAACACTGGCTACCAAAAATGGGCCTTCTTTTAGGTTGAAATACATTTGATATGTGCTAGAAGAACAAACGAGACATTGAAGGCAATGGGATACTAAATAGAGTTTAAAATTTAATTTCTCCTTTTCTAAACACTTTTAGGAGTCAGTTCAAACTGGACAAAGCTGCCACCACCTCTCTTCAGCAAAGTGGTTATTGTGCTGATAGATGCTCTAAGAGATGATTTTGTGTTTGGGTCGAAAGGTGTGAAGTATATGCCCTACACAACGTATCTGGTAGAAAAGGGAGCGTCTCATAGTTTTGTGGCTGAGGCAAAGCCACCCACAGTTACTATGCCTCGAATCAAGGTAAATTTAACTTGGTTAAATTTTATGAATCATGATTTGGCTCTTTTTTGAAAGTTTAGAGCAATTATTTAACCCACTTGGAGACCCTATTTTAATAACATGGAAAATATTTCAGTGTTATCAGTGTTGCTGGGCAGTGGGATGCTAACGTAATCCCATAATATGATAATCCTTTTATCCCTTGTTAGGTAGCTCATACCACATGGAGAGGAGGAAGGATTTAGAACCAGACTCCAGGCCATCATAGTCCAAGAGATATATATGTACCCTTCTCTTTGGCGGGCTACCGTGTTCCTTAGTCATCAGGCATGAGGGAGCCTTTGGGGAATAGTCAGTGTAGTCCATTATTTGTATATAAACAAACTTGGTCAAGTTAAATTATTTGTCAAAATTACATTATACAAAATGATCAAACAAGAATGAACTGGTCTGAAGAACTGTTCTACTACATAATTAGTTGTTCAGTTTGGTGAGGGTGGTTCTGAAGTACATGGTGCTTTACCTAAGAATCATGGCAAAAAAAAAAAGATCCCTGTCTGTAGATTGAAGAGTATTTACTGAGCAACTACGAGGTCTTCATACTGTAATGGATATACATTTGGGGGAAACTGCTATCATGGGGCTTGTAGGCTCTATGGATGGACAGAGGCATGGACAAACAAGCATTCACAGAAACACGCAGCTAGATTATGCTGAGTGCCTGGCAGGAAGAGCAGCATACAGCTCTGCTGGAGAGATAGAAGTGCTGCTGAGATCATGGAGCCTGAAAAGCCTGTTTGCAGAAGTTACACCTAAAAAGACACTATTAGGAGGAGTAGGGGAGTGTTGGCAGAAAGGACCAGAAGTGTTTCCAAATCTGCGGCTGCATTAAATAAAACATTTATTTCATTTTATGTGTATGAGCATTTTGCCTGCATGCATGTAGGTGCACCACAGAAGGCAGAAAAAGTATTGTATCCATTGGGATTGGAGTTTCAAGTGATTGTGAGCTGTCGTGAACTGAACCTGGGTTGTCTACAAGAGTGTCAAGTGCTCATAACTGCTGAGCAGTCTTTCAAAGCCCTAGAGATTTGTTTTTTGTTCTTGTTTTTTTTTGGCTTTTTTTTCTTCAAATTCTTACTTTTATTTTTAAACCAGTCTTCCAATGGGCTTTTCAGGTCCAGTGTAGTCCAGGGTCAGACAATGATTGACAAAAGTTCAATTGAGCCTGTCACCCATTAAGGAATCTACCCAAGGCTGGTGTGTGCTGGGACACTTGACTGTCTAGGTAGTTTTCAAGCCTGATCTGCCTTTCACTGTTTAATCAGGAACTCCACCTCAGCTAGAAGAATTAGTAGTTTTTGTTATTTCTGAGTCTTTCTAGATTCCCAGAAATACGTGCATGCTTTAAAACTTGTCCATAGTTGTCTTCCTTCCCAAGCCCTTTTTCAGATTTCAAGTTGTTTTTTTGCCTATCAGAGCCAACTGAAATGGAGCCATTATCAGATCAAGTAGAGCAGGAAGGAGATAGGAAAAACCACAGATACAGTGCTTACTTGAGCATGCCTATACAACTTATTACATGATTTTGGTGACAGTTAAATTTCCAAAGTAATTGCTCTTGACAGTTTTTGTTGGTTTTCCATTGCTCTTGGGGTGCAGGGCCAGGGGGTGCCAAGCTTCTAAATTCTGCCATTCTGGAAGTCTGGTTGATTTAAATTTACATTTTTGGCTAGTGATAAAACTCAACATTAGGGCACTTGTCTAGCATATGTATAGCACCGAGTTCAAGTCCTAGAACCTTAAAAATGAAGTTTGCATTTATTTGCCACTGAAAAAAATTTTATCAGAATTCTGTAGGCATTACAAAGATTCCTGTTCTTTTCACCACAAACCTATGTATGTTATATTTTAGGTGGTGATATAACTCCAAATCATGAAGATTCATTACGATTACTATGGCTTGTAGCATCTGTTGTAAAAGTGGGGACAATATTGACTCCACTCTATATCAGAAAGATAGGAGGGTATCTGACACCTACCATCTATTATATGGTACAGTATTGTAGGTGTCATCTGATGTGCCACTAACATTCTTGGCTCAATTTACTTTGAGAACTGTGTATAAGCAGGGTTTCTTTAAAAAAAATAGAGAAAGATATTAGATTTGCTAGATTGTTAGGGTTTGTTAATTAGCTTGCTTGTACAAAAGGCAGGTGAAATCTTATGTGAAACCTTGACAAAGGGTCTGAATATACAGGTTCATGTCATCAATGTTTATACACATATGCTAGTGTTAACTTTGTCAGTAAGACATAGCTTCTGTGACTGGCATTGTGTCTAACTATTATTGTCATCTTCTTCACCATGTTAATAATGTAAGGATTCCCTGAACCATGTTCATTAAATAATCAAGTCTTCAATATTGAGTTTGATATATTGGTCCAAAGTCCGTGTCCTATCTTCGTCCTCTCACCTGCTCGCTTATCGTCCAGCTCTGACTTTAGTGTCTAGAACAGGGCCTGCTGTAGGTTTGTACCCACCTGTTTGACCCACAACTCATCTTCCTATCTCTTGTGCTGCACTTTTGGATCTGTAGTCTAAGTCTTGATGTGTTTCTTTCTACAGGCGTTGATGACAGGAAGTCTCCCTGGCTTTGTTGATGTCATCAGGAATCTCAATTCTCCTGTGCTCCTAGAAGACAATGTGATAAGACAGGCAAAAGCTGCTGGGAAAAGAATAATCTTTTATGGAGATGAAACATGGGTTAAATTATTCCCAAAACACTTTGTGGAATATGATGGGACCACATCGTTCTTTGTGTCAGATTATATCGAGGTCTGTCTGTCTCTGTCTCTCTCTCTCTTTCTCCCTCTTTCTCTCCCTCTCTCTCCAAACTCTCATGCTACCTAGGTAAGAGTGGAACTTGATATGTAGCAGAGGCCATTCTTGAACTCTTAATACCCATGGCTCCTTCTCCAGAGTGCTGGGATTACAGCCATGCACCACCATGCCTCATGTCAGAGGTCAGTTTTTTAAAAACAGAAGCATTATACCTTAGGTAGAGTCTGATACTACCACTTAGAGGTGATGCTATTTCCTGTGTGGTATTTTTTTAATTTATGGAATGGTATGACAAGATTATAAGATCATTCATTCCTGTAGTCAGTTGTAAGTGGTAGCATAAACCCGGTGCTGGAGTGAACGAAGGTATGTAAGCCCCAAAATGCAAAATAGTTGGACAGACATTGAGGACACAGAAGGTCAGAAAGGGTACCACAGCAGAGGAGCTATGTCACTGAATGAGAGAGGACTCATAGGCAGAAAGGGAGGCAACAAAGTTAGAGGAGTACAGTGCATACTGCTGATATGTGAGATGGGTATGAGAAGGCTGGGCCTGCAGCACAGGAAATAATACAGGTGTTGTCTGTGTAGCACTACACAAGAGTCTCAGTTTAGTTTGGGGGTTGGGGCCAGTCTTTGAGTATATATAGTCTCACTGATACCTTTTCTAGAGTGATAAACCCTTTCTACACTTCACCACGGCAGGCACAGTGAGACTTTTCAGTAGTGACAAGTTTTCACACTAAGATATCAGGTGGAAATACTTTTCTTTGTGGTACATGATTTAGTGGGGAGGAAGTGGGCTTACTGAAGACTCAGGGCTATGCAGGATCCTAGCTCTATTAGGAGCTATTTACCTGCTCGCATTGCCATGATGTTTGCTTCAGAAACAGGAGATGTTATGAATGTTGTTCTATTCTTTCCAAGCATAGCCTTTATGTAGGACTGCTACATATTCCTAACTATACTGTACTGTCTTGGTTGGCTGCCATTCACCCTTTATTATCCTGTGGCTTCTTGGTGCTTATTTAGTTTTTTTATTCAGCTTTAGTTAAGACCAGCACTGGTCTTGGCTAATTTAAATTATCTGTATAATATGTTTGTTCACAAGCTAGAGACATTAAACAGAACAAGTATAAGAACTGAATCTAATACTAATATTCATTTAATTTTTTTAAAAATAACTTCAGGGCTTTTGTTTTAATTTTGTTTTTGTCTTTTCAATTTCCATGAGTTGCTTAAGATTAACTCCTGATAATCCAGGAAAAATTAGATGCACTGTTTATATGTACTTCTTCCTTCCCTTTGAAGGTGGATAATAATGTCACAAGACATTTGGACAAAGTATTAAAAAGAGGAGATTGGGATGTGTTAATCCTTCACTATCTAGGGCTGGATCACATTGGCCACATTTCTGGGCCCAACAGCCCCCTGATTGGTCATAAGCTTAGTGAAATGGACAGTGTGCTGATGAAGATTTACACTTCTCTGCTGTCAAAGGTAAGGCGTACTGTGGTACATTGCATGGGGATGCAATGCCACGTGACCAGTATTTCCTAGAATGTATAGAAATGATGGAGATGGCTCCATGCCCATTATCAGTGAGCTAGTTGTGCTTTTGCCATAGCTACCTTCCAGGTCACTGTTCTCAGAATGCTACTGTTAGTAGAGTTACACTCTGGCCAGGAAAGAAACATGAGAAATATAGTAAACAATGTAAATGTACCAAAAAGTAGTTGCTGTCAAGGGAAAACATGGGCAGGAGGAACCAGCACCCCTTTTTTTGGGGGGGGGGGATGATTTTAAATGGTATATTCAGGACCATCTTCCTGGATAAGTATTCCATGTGAATAGACTTGAAGGGAGGGAGGGAGGGACAGATACACACTATCTGTGTGAATGTGTGTCTGGCACAGAAGCGCTGAGGGTCAAGAGCCTGCCCAGTACAGTAGAGCAGATAATATCAAATGGCTGCAACTCTGGGCAGAGAAGTTCCATGATCTGCCTAGTGCCCTCTCTGGATGCCACGTGTCACCTTTACACCATCCTGTAAAATAAATGCCTTTAGTTTCTCTCTTGACAGGAAACCGAGGCAGGAGGAGTCATGTGCCCACAGTTTGGAAATAACAGATACCTTGCTGTTAGTGGTCATAAACACAACCCTTATGTACTCTGTGAGCTATGCACTGCTCTCGATTCACCTGTCACGTGTACCTGTCACGTGATTCACTTTGACTCATTGATAGGACTGTAACTTCGCTGGAAGAGATTTAAGGCTTTAAGGTGAAGGTCCTATTTATGAGCTAAAGTGAGGCTCTGCAGTTTTTGCTTTTGCAGGACCATATATGTTCTTGTAGACAAATACAGCTGACGTGTTCCTCTTTACCTTACAGGACAGAGAGACTCTCTTACCTAGTTTGCTGGTTCTCTGTGGTGACCATGGAATGTCTGAGACAGGGAGCCATGGGGCCTCTTCCACAGAGGAAGTGAGCACACCTTTGCTCCTAATCAGCTCTGCATTTGAAAGGAAACCTGGTGAGAATTAGGAATGATTAACATTTTAAACTATAATCTGGTATAAGTGATTGTAAACAATGTAAAATAAAAATTGAAGGGGTGATCGGCAGTCAGGACTTATAATTTATGTTCTTTGCTCTGATTCTCAAAATTATAAATACTTTTTTGTAAAAATTCTGTTGCAGAAATATTACTAGATAGGCCTGGAACTACTAAAAATTTGCCTTGGGCTGGTGAGATGGCCCAGTGGGTAGGGGTACCTATGGCCAAGTATGACTACTTGAATTCCATCTCTGGGACCCCCTGGTGGAAGGAGAGAAGTCACTCTCACAAGTTGTCATCTGACCTGGAGGGAATGCATGTGCCCATACATGTACACACATATACAAAGGTCTGGCTGTTCTGGAACACCCTCCATAGACCATGCTGGCCTGAACTCACAGAGATCTGCCTGCCTCTGTCTCTTGAGTGCTGGGATTAAAGGCATGTACCACCTCTGCCCAGCCTTAAATATTTTTAAATGAAAAATTGCCAGCAACTAATATTTAAATATTTTTAAAAGTACTCATTATTTAAAACCCTAGGTTGATAGCAAGTGTCAGGGATTCAGAGAGAGCACCATGGACTGGCTAAGGCCGTATTTCTCAGTCAAACATAATCCTGTCTTTCACCTGTACCTGATTCACCTTGCCTGGCTTATCCCCCTTGAAGCTACATGCCCTTCTGCCTCCACAAGACCAAATCATGCACACAGTGGGTACCATAGTTATCTCTGCAGCACAGCTGAAGCCTATGGATACTCTGGGTCTGGTCCTGTAACCTAATGCATTGGGTTACTATCTTGGTGAGTGCAAAGCCAAAATAAGTCCAGCCTGGACATGAAAGTGTGCAGAGAGTCATTTCCAAAGCTGTGTTCTCTTGGACAGAAGCAGGGATTTAGTTAGAGAGCCTGTACATATTCATAAAGACAGGATGGCCTCTTTCTAAACATCCTCAATTAAAGAGTACGTTCCTGGCCATGCTGAGTTTAATGTCATAATTTAAAAAGAAAAGACAATAGACACATTTTGGACTATGCAAGTCATGTAACAGTTTGTAAAAGATTAAGGTGAAGGGCAGAAAGTTCGCTGGACATGCACAGCTTGCACCAGAAGGTTTTGTTTTGATTTTTTTTTGGGGGGGGTGTTTTCTTTTGAGACAGAGTTTTTCTTTGTAATACCCCTGGCTGTCCTGGACTTGATTTGTAGACCAGGCTGTCTCAAACTCACAGAGATCCACCTGCCTCCCAAGTGTTGGGACTAAAGGTGTGTGCCAGCACGCTCAGCTTCATAAGTTTTTTTTTTTAAATAAGATTTTTAAACTTAAAATTACACAATTTGCCCCCCCCCATCTGTTTTCTGCCTTCAGTCCCTTCCATGTTTCCCCTTGAAATCATGGTCTCTCTTTTCTTTGTTATTGTTTTACACTACACTACACACACACACACACACACACACACACACAAATTTTATGTGTCTTTAAATGTACAACTACAACCTGCTCAGTTTGTTTAACATTACATATTTCTATATAACTTGAAGGCTAACCAGTTGGTATTAGATAGCTAACTAGAAGGCTCATCCCTGGAGAGGACTGTTTCTCCTTCTGAGCATTCCTTAATTTCCAGTAGTGCTTTGCCTGTGGAGACTGTGAAGTCTATCCTTTCTGTGTTAGCATGTCTGTTGATATGTAGGCAGCCATATTGTTGGGCTGTCATGGGCAAAGGCTCCCTGTTGTTTCGAGGAGACATGCTATTATAGCAGATTTCCTGGTCCCCTGGCCCTTACAGTCTTTCTGCTTCCTCAATGGAGATGTTTCCTGAGCTCTTAGTTGTAGGTGTATAAGTTGGGGGTGGACACCCAGGATCGCTTGTTCAGGAATTATGCTGTGGCTGTGTCAGTTGAGAGTGGACACTTGTGATCACTTGTTCTCTACATTTTGACCATACAGTTTTCTGAAATGGTCTCCATCTGTTACAAAGAGAAGTTTCTTTGATGACTGGTAAAAGCTACACTTATTTGTGGGTTTAAGGATAAATATTTAGAATGCAGTTAGGAATTATGCTGGTTTAGTAAAATGGAGGTGTTACACTCTCTAAAATCCATGGCCCCACTGACCCTGGGGAATTGGTTAGTTTTCCAGCACCAGGTATGATTTCCATCCTATTTAATGGAATAGCCGTAAATCCAGTTAGAAAGCTGTTGGTGACCACCGGGATATGAAGGCACAATTGTACCCTTAGGGTCATCCTGCATCTGGTTCTCATAGGTTGTCATAGTTGTTCATAGGCAGTACAGCTGGGTAGGACTATTGGTTGCTTCCTTTTGATGCCCTTGTATATAACTGCCTCTTTGCTCTCACCAAACCTAGAAGCTCCAGTCTTGACACCTGAATATTCTTTTGTTTCTGAGACAAAAACAGATGAGAAATGGCCTGTTTCCACCTTGGAGTGGGTAGACACTCCATTGTAGATGGGGTGAGTGATGGGGCTACATTCTGGGTTGACACCCCTTAGAGTTGCTGTCTCCTGGAGCTTGGGAGTGGGGTGGAGAAATTCATGTGCTATAGACTCTTAAAGTTCTTACAAAAGTTCAGTAGATTTTCATGAATGAGTGTTTCTTCATTTGATAAATAAACTTAGATAATTCCAGACAGTAAATGGTGGCTGTTGTTTTTTGTGAAGTTTGGATTATTTGCCTTGTGATTTCATAGACTGACGTTCAACCTGCTGCTACCTGTCCTGAGTCCTTAGGCCCCAGTGGGAACCATAGATAGGTACGGGTCACTCCAAAGGCAAGGGAAGGATAATGCTCCTGCTGGACCGCCATCAGGGAGAGCAGGCGTGTTGCTTGGCTGACTCACCACTACATAGGACTTTGTCTGTCTCATAAACTTGTTCTGCCTTCCAAACCAAAAATGGTGCCTAACAGCTTTTTTTAAAAATTGATATTTGTTTATTAAAGGTTTTAAAGATTGCTGAAGTAGAGGTGTTGTGGGCCTAATGGAGATGTATGAGTAGTGGAAGAAGAACTGAGAGTAGTTCTCTGACATGACTGTAGATTAAAGCCCTTTGTATCCTGTGTTCACGTTACAAAGCTATAGTTATTAAAACAGTTTGTGCTGGCAAGACTGGTCAGGCTCATCGATGGAGGAAGCAGTCCTCCCTAGCAGTCTGCCCTACCAGCTCCTAGAAGAATGGCTGTGTTGTTCAAGGTCCAGGGCCCTGGTATACAAAACAACCTTTGATAAAAAGTAACCTAGGAGAACTTTCTCATCCATAAAAATATGACACTCCAACCCCAGAAGCATCACAACAGGTTTACAGAGTTGCCTGGGTCTCCAGGGAAGTCTTTTCAGGTTGCTCTGCTCAAACTTCTTAAATATACAAGTGTGAGTCTGTGGAGAATTTACTATAATTGTAGTATGTTTTGGTTGTATAGACATTTCATTTGGTCAAATTTATTTTCTAGACAAACTTTCTACTTCAGTATTATTGCTTATCATCTTCCAGTACTTTCTGCTACTATTTTCTTACATTGTTTTGAGCTGAAAAAACAAACAAAACAAAAGCAAACACAATACACATCTACTTTCATTTCATCAGATCCTCTTCTAAGACTGTGTCTACTGTGGCATAACATAACATAAGTGGCATAACGTACCATGTGATGTTCTAACTCTACCAAATGCTGATTTTAACCAGGATTCAGGTTAAAGCTCAGGCAGGAAGAGAGCAGAGGCCAGATCTAAGGAGGTGATTCCATAGTTCTTAATATGAGCTGGAAGTATTAATGCAAATTCAAGATTAACCTATTTTAAAAGATTTCTTTGTTTTATCCAGAAACATAATAAAATCCAGCATAAGTTCAGACTTCTAGCTGTGAAACAGTATATTCTTCCAATTCTACCTGAAGGATCAGGGTACCCTAAGGAGCCAAGCGAGCCCTGAGAAGGACACAAACATGGCAGCTAGGAATAGTGTTCAGAGGGCAAGAGACAGATCAGAGACCACTGAGGTCTTGCCTCAAGGACTTGGGAATAAAGATGTTCCCATTAGCCAAAGATATGTTAAAGAAAACAAAAAAGAATAGTAGCTATAATGAACAGAAACTAGTCCATATGCTGAAAACCATGATCTCACACTTTTACTAAAAAAATGAACAAGTTTAGTTGGCCATTTATTGAAGGATAATAATAAATTCATTAGTTGATTTGAAACTGGTGATACATGGGAAGAACAATTTTTCCTCTCTTATATAAATACTATCACTGGGAAATCTAGAGTATACAGGGGGCATTTTCTTTATAAAATTGTTCTTGTTGATCTAGTGTTAATATTCTCCCAAAATTTATGTGAGAGAAGCTTAATCTCCAATGTATTGGTGTTGGGAGTTGGTGCCTTTTGTCAGGTCTCAGCTTATGAGCCCTGGTACCCACTAAAAATGGCCTCCATTTTATTATTTAATAAAATCTCAAACATTTCCTCTTCTATCTTCTGTCACATGGAGATGCACTGTTCCCTCCCTTCAGGGTACGATAATTAAGGCATCATCTTGGAAGAAAGGAATAAACCTTACTAGATTCTGATACCTTGATCTTATACTTCCCAGCCTGCAGAACAGCCATTCTTCTGGGAGCTGGTAGGGCAGACTGCTATGGAAGGCTTGAAGAGATGTGGGTGGCAAGGGCCTTATCCTGGTCATAACTGCCCAGCTTCATCCTGCTTTTTAAAGAAAAGATCCTGCTATCGTTCATGAACCACTGTTAATACTAACTCATGTTGACTTGACATCACCTAAGTGACCATCTCATGGCCTCTCTGTCTGGCTACTTGTCACTTTCATGCCCAATGCTGCAATCACAGTAACTGTAGTTTTAAAAATCAGACTCTCTGTCTAGTGTATTATAAGCCACTTAGGGGAAAGTGGCACTTAATATGTTTACTGACATAAAAATTAAGGAGGTGGTTTCTGTGTGAATCTATGTTTGAGTGACTTGAAATCATGGTAATTTGTCTTAACATTAGCTGTTGTTGCTCAAATTCAAGAATAACTACCATTTTCTACTTTGTAGAAATCTATTGCTTAAAATGTTTTGCTTTTTTCTAGGGGATATTCGACACCCAAAGCATGTTCAGCAGACTGACTTGGCTGCAACACTAGCAATAGGACTTGGTTTGCCAATTCCTAAAGACAGTGTAGGAAGCCTCTTATTCCCAGTTATAGAGAGAAAACCCATGAGAGAACAACTGAGATTTTTACATTTAAACACATTACAGCTTAGCAAACTATTGCAAGAAAATGTACCATCGTATGAAAAAGGTAAGGTAATTAATTAATAGTTCCAACTTCTATAAGGTCTTCATGATTCCATGGTCCTTATGTTTTTTAGGTGTTTTCTGGTGTGCAATTTGTAATGGGATACTTTGTAGTTGTTACTCTAATGATTAATATTATGTTCCAGTTTTCTAACTTCCTTAACTGTCATTATTACCAACACCCATGAATATAATTAAGCTTTTTGAAATCTTTCATATATTTCTCAATTCAACAATTATTTACCAAGTTTTTGTTTATGAACAAGGGACAAAGACTGGGTGTAGTGGTGCACACCTTTAAGCACTTGTGAGGCAGAGGCAGGCAGATCTCTGTGGGTTCAAGGACAGCCAGGGCTGTTAGACAGAGAAACCCAGTCTCAAAAAACAAAAAAGCCACGACAGCAGCAACAACAAAAACTCAAACCAAAATAAACTGGAGATAAGGAATTGAGCAGCCCTAGATCTCTATCCTCACAAAATTGTTTAGGGTGAAGAGAACACAAGCACTGTGATAGATGCAGATGGTACCCAGAGCCCTAGGAGATTGGACATAGAAACATGGAGGGCTGACAGACTAAGACAAGCCTGTCCTTAGAGTTAGGAGGAAGCTTTGTAGATTGGGGGACAGAGGGCACGGGAGATGAGTTCAGACATATCATCAGAGGGCTTTTAGGCATTGGATGAGCTTCCAGTTTTGTCTAGGTGAAGGAGGACACAGCAGTTTCCTGGATTTTCAAAGGCTCTCCCAGGTTCCCTCTGGGAGTTTGCCTTATATTGTAGCAGAGCAGGCAAGAAGCAGCTCCAGTGTTTTGGTGTGAGGTAAGACAGTGTGGGCTCAGCATGGTAGTTAAAATTAGAAAGTAGATGTATTTTGGAGGTAGCAAGAGAGTGTTTGCTGGCACCGTGGGATATAAGGCACAAGAAGTCCTAAGGCCGAAGAAACAGCTCCAGGTTTTCAGCTAAATAGTGAAGAAATGGTGCCCATGCAGTAAGGTAGGCAGGAGCTCATTTACAAGGCAGGCGGGCGTCTTAGTTATTCTTCTATTTCTGTGGTAAGACATCATGACCAAGGCAGTTTATAAAAGAAGGAGGTTATTTGGCACTTACAGTTTCCAGAAGCTTATGTCTGTAACTATCATGACAGGGAACCTGGCTGCAGGTAGGATCTCAGTCAGGCAGTCAGGGATGTGCTAGAGTAGTACCTGAAAGCTTATATCATCATCTACAAGGCTGAGGCAGAGAGCTACCTGGGGATGGCTGGGCTTTTGAAACTTCAAAGCCACCTCCAGTGATACCTCCTCCAACAAGGCCACACCCCCTAATCATTTCCAAACAATTCTACCAGCTAGGGACCAAGTATTCAAATAAATGAACCTAGGGGACCACTCTCATTTAACCAGCAGGGTAGTGAGAGATGGGGGAGGTGGGACAGGAAGCTGTGAAAAGAGAAGGTCAATAAGGAGAAAGTAAGCCACTCTGTTGATGCTGTAATTACGAGCTAACTCTTGGGTCTGAGGATGTAGAGTCATTAGGGGTTGTTGGAGCAGCTCCTGTGTAGTGTTTGAAAGAGCCTGGTTAGATTAGATACTGTAAGGGCAACAGGATCAGAAAGGCGGACTGCAGACTAAGCAAGTGATTTTGTCTTCCAGCTGAAAATCGTAGAGGCTATTTCTATGACAAAAGGAATGATTCCAGGAGAAGAGTGAACCTCTATGGGACCCTGTATAGATCACTTGAGTCACATTTTCAACTGATCTGCTCTAGTATGTCCAGCATAACTAACACATCTATCTGTCACTGATCCTCCTTCACAAGTACAGAGATGGTGCTTGTGTTTGAGGCAGTATTTCACATGATACTGGCAAGTTTTCTTTAAGTTGTGATATACATATACTAGGCTGAGCACCATGAGTGTTAGCTATGGAAGACTAGACCCTGCTAGCTGGAAAATGACTGGGAGCCATATGCAGCAAGGGGCAGGAGGACTTTCTGAGTGAGTACTCAGTCCAGTAGTCCAGGTGAGAAGCTTTGTTAGAGGTGAGAGCTGACTTCAGTGTATGCTTTTAGACTAGATTATTTGTAATGGTTACTCTTGCTTTGTTTTTTTCTTTTTCTAAAATAACTTATTGGCTTATAAGGTTTTTTTGTTTTTTTGTTTTTTTGTTTTTTTGTTTTTTTTTTTTTTTGAGTAGATGGGAAGGTGTTGGTTGGTTTGGTTTGGGCTTTTTAGTTGTTTTAAGTTTGGTGATGTTTTATTTTGGTGTATGTATGGTGGGCATTTTGGGTGTTTTTTTTCTTTGTTCATTTGGATTTATTTATTTATTTTCTTATTTATTTGGTTATGATAGTAGTTGGTTTCATAGTACTGGGAATTGCCTATGCTAGGCAAGTACTCTATCACTAAACTATATCTCTCAGCCTCTTTTAGTTTTATTTTGAAACACTCTCACTGTTATACAGACTGGTTTTGAATTCTGTAACCCAGGTTTTCCTTCAATTTGTGATCTTTCTGACTTAGTCTTTTGAATAGCATTACCCACTAGGCCAGCCATTGCTTGGTAGTTTTATATATGTTGTTGTTTACAAAATTCTAGCCTAGCAGATTGCCAACAAAAAAACAGCTGCTAAGGATTTTGATGCTTCAGAAATATAAGGATAGAAAACCATTAGGGAAAACAACAAGCCTACAAAGATTAGCAGACATTGTTGTGGGTCCGTCACTCCTAGGAGGCCTACCTATATCCACACCATCAGTACATGTTCTATGCTCTGAATCCCACAATAGGACCAACAGAATCTTCCACAACATCTAGCCAAATCTGATGCTTCTTGCACTCTGTCTGTTTTTTTAGTTCTGTTGGGAATAACTCCTTCCCAGCTCCCACCTGCACTCCCCAGGAACTTTGAACAAGATGTTCATAATGACTGCTGTTCTTCTCCAGTACCTCATCTGGTTGATTCCTGGTCATCCTTTACAGTCAGCTTCTCAGGCTGTCCTTGCCCTATTATATTTCATTTCTAATCTAAAATCAATTATTCCCCATTACCAGAAATGTCTCCTATCATCTGCTTTTCCTTCATAGCATTCTTTGTGATTAATTTTTTTCTTTTTATGTGTATGGGTGTTTTGCCTGCGTGCATGTCTATGCATCATGTGTATTCAGTGCAGAGGCTAAAAGGAAACAATGTTGGATGGTTGTAACCATCATGTGGCTCCTGGGGATCAAGCCTAAGTCCTCTGAAGGAGCCACCAGAGCTCGTAACCACGGAGCCGTCTCTCTGGCCTCCATTATGTCCATGCCGACAACATAACAGTTTGTTCCCATTTGTTTGTGTTTGTAAACACATCTAAATCCAAGTATAAGCAGGGAGGGATTGTACATGTTTATTCACCATTGTGTTTCTCTTTCTTTTTTAAATTTAAAATCCTATGTATTTATTATTTCAAGATTCAGAGTCTAGGACATAGAAGGTACTTAGGAAGTGTTCATTTGGCTGCATGAACAGGAACCTCAGGTTTCTATGACTCCTTTTGTAAAGGCTGTAAGATGTAACACAAATATCCTGTGTCTTTGTGGTTCATTTGTAGAGATGTGTACGGCTGTTGAGTATACACAAAGATAGACCAGATCTTTGTACTTACTTATGGAGGCTGTGGGTTATAGACACAGGTACTCTGTGTCTCTCTGACTTTGTTGCGGGGGCTACAGGGGGCCATCAGGCTTCTATATGTCACTTATAGAGGCAATGGGGTATAGGCATAGGTGGCCGAGTCTCTGTGACTCCCTAGAAGAGAGGCATGGATTATGAATACAGATCACTGTGGAGGCTCGGGGCGTAGACACAGATACTCCTACTTTGGAGTGGTGTAGCAGTGAGGGCACCAGCTGTGGACTTATTGTCAGTAGTAAGTGCAGGTGCAACCTGAAGTGTTCAGATTCACATTAAGATTGTGTCACTGAACCCTGTCCTCAGCAATACAGCATCTGCAGGCTGCTGCTGCGATGGCGAAGCATGAGGTGTATTCACATAGTTCTGCGCAGCACTGTTGGGGTGATAAAGGGATCTATTGCCTTGATGAAGTACAAGGTGCATTTTAAAGAACAGCATCTAAGGAAGAAAAGTCTTGCTTTTAGACTCATTTAGTCATAAGCAAGCCCAACACAGTAAAGAATAACAGACCAGATCTGGGAAGTGGTCTGTCAGCTCCTTGCCTTCAGTAGCACTCCCTGTAGCTCTAAAGGCGAAAGACACCCAGAAGCCAGGCATTTCATGCCAATACTGTCAGTGGCCATTGTAGTCTCAGGGGTGGGGTGGGGGTGAGGGGTGGGAGCAGGAACAAAAGTTGCTTAAACCTTTGCAGAGTGGGTAGGGGCTTTCAGGGTGAGTGTACATCATTGGCCAGGGCCAGGGCACTGGAAATGCCTCATTAGCATAAGGAGGAATTCCAGGTGCTGCTGGACATGACATTATAAGGGGAGAGGAAGTTTAACCCAGCTTTGCAACCTCCTGGTAGGGGGTGGATACTTGTGACAGAACATGCAGGCCCGGAACAGCAGGGGAGTGATCCTACTCCTGACAATCTCAAGATGATATTTCTGGGGTTTGGACATTCCTGGCTCCAGACCAGTGCCCCACCCCTGCTCCACACACAGGCTCTGGCTGTGTTGGCCGTAGATGGATAGACATCATCAGGTGCTACAGTGTTACTGTGGTGCTGCTCACCGTTACTGCCTAGGAACAGATTGCCTTCATTAGGTATTGGTTCTAAAGGATGCCCCAGGAGTAAGTGCATGTGCTAAAATTATAAATATCTATAATCTTTTTGTCTGATAGATCCTGGATTTGAGCAGTTTAAAATGGCAGAAAGGTTGCATGGAAACTGGGTCAAACTGCACTTGGAAGAAAACCATTCAGATATTCTGCTTGGCCTGGGGACCAAAGTACTGAGGCAGTATCTGGGTGCCCTGAAGACACTGAGTCTGTCCCTGAGCAAACAAGTGGCTCACTATGACATCTACTCAATGGCAGTGGGGACACTCATGGTTTTGGAGGTACATATGCTTGAATTATCATGGTTCAGGTGTTAAATTGATTATGCAGCCAAAACATGATGGATTTAAATTTATATATCATTACTGCTGGGCATGATGGTGTATGTCTATAATTCCCAAATTCAGTTTGCTAAGATGGGGAGAATGGTTACATCATGCTAGCCTGGACTACAATAAGACCCTGTATCTGAAAAGAATATTGGTGTAACACAGAAAATAGGAATGTTCTTTATTTTTCCATTGTGTGTCCAGATTTAAGAGATTACTCAAGTGTTTGCATGTGGCAAATGGCTTCATTCAGCATTGGTATAAAAGATAAAAATATAAATCAAGCTATGCAGTTTTGGCAAGCAACTAAAATTATTTTTCCCTTGGGTCTTTTTGTTTTGTTACTGTTTTTGTATGAGCAAAAGGTTAGGATGGGCTGGGCTCATTTGATTGGATGTTCCTGTATCTAGGCTGCCATAGTCACCCTTGATCATCTTTTTCAGGTTCTCACTTTGTTCCTCCTTAGCACTCCACATGTGCTGTGCAGAAAGGCTGAGCTGGATGTTCCTCTGTTGTCTCCTGTGTTTTCTCTGCTCTTTTACTTGATATTTTTGGTTCTTTCGGCCATTCATGTCCTGGTGTGCACCTCATCTGAGAGCTCGTGCTACCTCTGTAGCCTCCCGTGGCTGGCAGCAGGGGCTGTTATGGTACTTGTTTCTGCGCTGTTCTGTGCAATTTTGTCTACTCTTATCAGGATGGTCACTGACGGCACTCTGCTGAGGAAGGTATGACTAATCCCTGGATATATAATGTGGTCCTGTGGGTGGGCTTTTGTTTTGTTTTGCTAGCCGATCTTTCATTAGTATAAATTGGTTGAAAATCGTGTATGTACCAGCATTGCAGTGCTGGATGTGCCTTGGAAAGACCACACATCAGTTAGACTGCAGGGGAAAGACCTAAGCCTCCCAGGCTTCTGGGCATCATTGTCTGTGATATTCTGCTATGTAGTAGGTCATATGCTCTTATTCTCAGCTGGAAAGAGCTGGACTGGAACAGAGATGATAATAGGGCTTCTGGATGTAAAGGACACAGGGAACATGTGTACCTCAGTCTCAGAAAGAATCTCTGGGCTGCAAATGATGCACAGTGAACAGGTGTCCACTCCGGAGGTTCCGGAAGGTTGATCCTCTATTCCTGTGTTGTGCTTCACAGAGCTTTCTTTTCAAGGTTTACACTTTTCTGTGTAATTTGTGGTCTCTGTTAACCTTTGTTTATTAGGTAGGTGATAGTGATGGAGCAGTGTGAAGAAGGGGTGTGGTTGTATTAGAGGCCACAGTATCTAGACCCTGGAATTGAGAAAGCCTGAGCAGTGGCTCTAGCTCCCACCCAGAGTTTCTTGTCCTTCTGTCCCTTTCAAGATCCCCTGTTGTGTATCTGGGTCTAGGCACAGTCTCTGTCTGTCTGTCTGTCTGTCTGTCTGTCTGTCTGTCTCTTTAGGAACTTTCTGGGTTCATAGTGTTTGTCAGGGTACATTGCTATACATAGTTAACAGTTACCAGAACAATAAGCAACAAGAACTTTTTCTCGTTGAACTGGTGTGTGTGTGTGTGTGTGTGTGTAACTCATAGTACACATCTGGAGGTCAAAGGACAACTTGTGAGACTCAATTCTCTTCTTATGTGTCCTGAGAATAGGACTCAAGCCATTAAGCTTGGCAGCAGGTGCCTGTCCTGCCGAGCCGTCTCCTCAGCCCGTGAGCTGTTTTTACTAATTTGTGTTGCTCATTTCTTCATCACTGTGACAAAATATCTGATATCAATAATTTAAGGGAGGAAAGATTTACTTTAACTCACAGCTTCAAAAGTGTCAGTCCAAGTCTGGTTGGCTCCATTACTATGGGCCTGTGTTAAGGCAACATCACGGTGGAAAAAAAGACTTAGCTGAAAAAAGCTGCTGACTCAGCCAGCTAAAAAGCAGTGAGAGGAAAGAAGAGAGAATGGGAGAGTTGTACCTTCTTACTCTAATCACCTTTCAGCAGTAGGGGCCAAGCTTATAAAATACAGATTTTTCCCTTTTATGAGAGAAGTATTTCATACCTAAATCATAACATGATTTAAGAGACAGTATTCTGTTGCCATCACTTTGTAGTGGCAACTGTGTGGTCCTGAGGAAATTGGTGTCATGCTGGGAGTGTGACAGGTGGGCTAGGATCTTCTGATTAATTCTTTGGGCTCAATCACTGCATTGAGGACCTGCTTTCAGTCTCTGACACTGAGCTTGGGGCTTAGATTTCTGGGTGAGGACAGCTGACTGACATATCCTCCTGGTTAGCATCTTGACCTCCTCGAGGCTGTGCTGCAGGAAGAGGGGCCATGCTTCCGATGCAAGGGGTTCCCTCCACAGTGGGCAGTTTGAGTTGGATGGGAAGACAGCCAGTGTCTGTCAGGAGGCCTCTTCACTGTGAGCAAGGGTGTCGTTCGTGAAGGATGATATACATGACTTTCAGGCTATCGCTCACACACTGCATTTCCTTCTAACAGAATGCAGCTGATGCCAGCTCAGGGTGGTCAGAGGTGAACCTCCTTCTTCTTCTGGGCACAGTAGGCCATGTTCTGAGCCTGGGAGCCAGCAGCTTTGTGGAGGAAGAGCACCAGACGTGGTATTTCCTTATTAATACTCTGTGCCTGGCTCTGAGCCAGGAAACCTGTAGGAGTTACTTTCTGAGAGATGAATGTGAACCCCAGTGTCACTTCCACGTGGAACACAAATGTGTGAATCCCCTTGCCTGTACTCTGCAGGACAGCACAAGCTACAGTAGCCCTGAGTCTGACATAGCAGGTAAACGGGTCTCCTTACTGGAAGCACGAGGAAACTGCAAATGGTGGACAGTGCTGGCAAGTCCATGGCTGGTGCTGATCTGCTGTCGGCTACTGCGGTCCTTGAACCAGACAGGAGTACAGGGAGCCCATCGTCCTGACCTTAGCCACTGGCTTACTAGGTGAGCATGACCCATGGGCTGGAACCTTTTGCAACTGGATAGCCTTACATAGTCCTCTTTTTCTACATTTTTTTCCTTTTAAAAATATATATTAAGACTAAGATAATACTTGAGATCTAAAAAGATAGAAAATATACCCAATAAAGAAGAATAGAAATTAACTTAATATTTTTTTTATTAATGCTTCATCAGACTAGTTTTTAATGATTGAGAACTTATGAGTTTTAAAATGATCATTGTAAAGATGTAACTCTGGAATCAAGTCCATGGTGGTTCTCTGTACACTGCTGCCCGTAGGTGAGAGGACCAGATCAGTAGACAAAAGGTTTTAGTCTCTGGAACACCTTTGCCGTCTGATTCTTCTTTCTTCTGAGGCCTGTCTCTCTTCACCCTTAGAGGGCAAAATGTATAGTGGACCTCTCGACATCTCCTGAGCCTTCTACTGACATTACAGAGCCAGAAAGGGATGTAGAGTGAGGTAGATGGAAAGGGTTTTAAGAGGGGCTTGAAGTAAATGGAAGAAACTGCGTCTGACAAAGTCAAGACCATGCTGTTTTGACTGACTGACAGCAAAGACTCAAGCTAAAGTAAATGAAGTAGGACTGTTCAGAGGAGCAGACAGTTGCTGAGCTGTATAAAATTGGAGTGCAGAGTGGGAGAAGACCACCTGCTAGTTTTGGGGAAATTTCAAGTTGATAGTGTGTTGTGAATTTATGCTTGTATAGTGGAGGACCAAAACAAATGATATTGCTCAGACCTTACAAGTGTGCATAACCCAGAAGTGGGCATCAAAGAAAGATTCTGGTTTCTCTAACTAAGAGGGTTTCATGAAGAATTCCACCAAGTGTTAAGTAGCTTATCAAACTTTCATAATCCCACAATTACACCTGGCATCTTTGAAGTTTCTGCCATGTGCTTGTACAACAGCTCTGGGAAAACATCTCTGTGTGCTCCTCACTTGAGAGTTCAGGAAACAAAGGGAACAGGGCTCACTGATGGACTATATGTCCTCAGCCCAGGCATATGAGATGTTTGATATGTTAAGGAGTTCCAGGCTCTAGAAAAACATAGTGGGCACTTGTTATTTCTCTGAAAATTTGAAGCATTTGGTACATGTGTATCCTGCATTCCTTCTCAAGTGTGCTGCCTTCTGCATCTAAGATATTTTCTTGTTGAATTGCTGGGCCATTCCTATCAGCTGTAAAAGGGCATTTTGTAACTCCCATTAGTTGCCCACTCCAAAGCTGTCTTACTTAAATATCACTTTGTCATGTTGTTGTACAGCGTTCCACAGGGATGCCTAGGATATACAAGCATAGCATGAATTATCCCTTCCCATCTTAATACAGGCATATCTGTCTTTGTGGGGGTTTCTTTCTCTCTCTCTCTCTCTCTCTCTCTCTCTCTCTCTCTCTGTGTGTGTGTGTGTGTGTGTGTGCGTGTGTGTGTGTTGAGACAAGGTCTTGCTCTGTATTCTAGGCTGACCTCAGACTTGTGATCTTATACCTAAGCCTCCTGTTTGTCAAGATTGCAGATATATATCACTACCACCAGTTTTATTCACATTTTCTGAGGTCTTTTTCAATTTTAATGTGTATCTTTCCAGAATATATATTTAAAAATTATGATCTCAGCATTATGAGCATAGACTATGTAAATAATAAAGGGAGCTGGCCTGGCCAAAGTTCTAGTGTATGTAGCAGTGCCCTCACACCTCTCCTCAGCAGGCCAGCCCCTGTCGGGAGAGACGAGCTGTGTGAGACAGTGACAGAGCCACGGTGAGAATGAAGTAAACCAAGGATGCTGGGGGACAGATTGTACCTGATACCAGCATCTGAGACTATTTTAAGAGTAAGGTGTGAATGAGATCTCAGCATGGTAGTCTTTGTGACATTTTAAGATCCTTGCTTTTTGTTTTGTTTTCTACCTTTCTAGGAAAAATCATTTGATTTTATACAATTCTTTTAAAAGCCTTCAATATAATTGTAAATCGCCAGTTCCATTTGGTAGTAATTTGGGCATTTTCTATCTTATTTCAGCTCTGACCACAAAGTACAGCTCTCAGGCCTGGCTGCCCTCTCCCTGGTTGTAATCTTCATGTTAGTTCAAAGGGGATGCTCTCTTGTATCCAAGGTGGCCCTAGCACTGGGGCTGCTGGGTGTCTTCTGCTACAGGGCAGCCATTGGGATTGTGCTGTTCCCATGGCAACCAGACAACAAGGTCATTTCAAAGTAAGTGAACTAGAGATATGAAGGCTTGCTTTTATGTGTTTCAGTGTTTTCTGTACTAAAAATACCATGTCAGTCCTTACAATACTTGAGTTTAGTTTTTATGCATGATGATTTCATTTGTAGCTATTATATCCTGGTCAAGAAAACCTTAATGAGCCGCTTGTTAGCACTCTTTTGAGAGATAAATAATGTAGAAGTAAGGTCACTGTATTTATTTTCTTAATTAATAAATAATTTAAAAATGAGTTAAGAGAGACCTGCATTTACTAGGACTTGGTTTTGCTAAGTTAAGATGTGACTTTAAAAACAAGGATACTCCCAAGGATACAATAGTAAGTGGATACTCCCAGCAGTTAAGAAAGGAAGTGAGCTTCCCTATATTATGCTTGTAAGGCCCAAGAATTCCTGTCATGCAAATCAAGAGGGCTCAACTCTAAGTCTGGTATTTGTGATAGAACTGCTGGGGTCCCTGGTCAGAGCTGCAAAGGGTGGCTAGCCTTCTCAAAAGTACCTAAAGAATACAGACAGGCAGCTGAAAATAAAACACCTTCATGTCTTTGGAACATCATTTACAGTTTAAAATAAATAGATAATTTGTAGTTGTTCATCAGTAGTGGGACAGCCCTCACAGATATATCTCTGTTTTCATAGAACACAGAAGGGTACTATGAAGCAATAGGCTATAAAACTCTTACATGATGCCAACTTACCAAACACGTTGTTTTATGTGACTTAACTTGATGAATATTAATTGTCATATTTAGGACCCACAATCATATATAGCTTGAGGCCTTACTTTTTACTCATTTGGGTACCTTATACAGATGTCTAGATTTAACAAATATTGAAAGCCAAGGGCTATATCCAGAAGCTTAAGGGCTTACTAGAAAACATCTGTGGATAGGTATGGGGTGGTACTAGGTTTCTGTGGCTGGTAACAGCAGGGTAGTTGCCTTCACCTGAGGCAAGAAGCCAGATGAAACATGAAGATGGTGATTGAGACTGGGGACATTTTGTAGAGGCAAAGGCTCTTTTTAACTTTGGAGTCTGCAACTTTGGACAGATAGCAAGGTTAGATGTTACATGTGAGTTTTTTGTTTAATCCCTAAGTGCAGTGTGTGGGTGCATTTTTTGTTTCCACCCAGATCTATGGACTTGATTTCTGCATTATAATCTCAAGACTGTGATCCCCTTGCTTTGCCTTCTCTGCTAATAAGCAGCTTGTCCTCTGTAGATGTGCAGATAGCCAGCAGGCTTTTTCTCTAAGCATTCTTCCTATACAATCCAGCCATCCCTCACCTTGTCTATCTTGATTTTAAAAAATATACTGGTTCTACATCCACCTGGCTTCAAAGGTACCCAAACTCCAGACTCATCCTGATCTATCTGGTTCTGCATGTGCTACTCAGAAATCCAAGCATATCTAGGGTTGAAAGTCATATAGAATGAGAAGTAGTGACTGATCAATACTGGGAACCTGTCCAGATGTTCTTCCTTCTGCCCTTTCCTGTCTAGTGGCCTTGGTATCATCTATTCAGACTAGCTTCTTCCTTGAGACATTCCAATGGCTTTCACATTTGCTGGATTCTGCTTCATTGGAATCCACATGGACCTGTATTTAGCTTTTATGTTAGGACTCATATGGTCAAAGGTGTTCTAGGTATTTGACTCCAGCTTCCCAACCAGGGCCACACTCTTCCACATGTAACTCACAGTATCAACACTGAATTAAAGTAGTCATACTAAATGGGCCTCTGCCTCTGCTTACTGAGTGCTGGGGTTAACAGTGTGCACCACTACACTCCACCATTAAGTGACAATCTTAAAGTATATAAATACCTCATATATAAAATCTACTTAAAATACTATATTTTAGGAAAATATATTTAAAAAGATGAAGTTATTAGACATAGTCCCATAACTTATATCCTTTTTATACTTAAATTGAGTGCAGATACTTAGTCCATTAACAGTACTTAATATTTATTTAGCATGTACTGTGTACAAATACTTCATGTCTATTTTTATACATATATAATTCCTAGGATAACCATGTGATGTGTAGAAACCACTTTCTGTTTTTAACTTAATGAAGTTGATTGTCAGAGTGTTAATTCAGTTGTTCTAACAACAGAGCTAGTGAGCAGCAGGGCCCAGACTTGAACAGTCTGGACCACTGCACACTGTACATTGTACATTGTAGACATGTCAACATTCAAGTGTTTATTAAATCCACTTAACTATGAACATGCTCAATTGCAGTTAGCATTCTTGAACTTAAGACATTTCAGATACTCAGGTCATCAACTAGCACAAACATGTTTCACTTATCTGTGCAAAGTGTTGCAAGAACATAGCTCTGATCTCCCTATCAAATGATCCTTGGATCACATAAGCAAGTTTTCCACACAGTCAGCTCCATTAGGATGGTACATCCCAGCATATGCCTGATGTCGTTGCTGGCTGCTCCTCAAGGGCATGCGTGTCAAAGCAGACATGCTTTTTTTTTTTTTTTTTAATTAGTCACAACTTGTTTAGCTATACTTGTTTAGCTATATACATTTAGGCATTCTCTAATTAGAGACATGTTTTAAATGGGAAAATATTTACTTGAACAAATGAATGTAACATATTTTGCTTTTTTTTTTAGGGGAATTATTGAAGCTCGTTTTGTTTATGTCTTTGTCCTTGGTATTCTGTTCACTGGTACCAAAGATTTACTAAAAGCACAAGTCATTGGAACAGACTTCAAAACCAAGACTGTAGGCTTGTGGGAAATACATAGTGGATTAGTTCTTCTGGCAGCTCTGCTCTTGAGACCACACAATCTTCCAGTGTTAGCATTTAGCCTCTTGATTCAGACTGTAATGACCAAGTTCATTTGGAAGCCCCTGAGACATGATGCAGCTGAGATCACTGTAATGCATTATTGGTTCGGTCAAGCATTCTTCTATTTCCAGGTAGGTTTTCATTGTTATCATGGATAGAAGGCTAGTGTGATGGTTTGTATATGCTTGGCCCAAGGAGTGGCACTATTTGGAGGTGTGGCCCTGTTGGAGTGGGTGTGGCCTTGTTGGAGTGGGTGTGGCCCTGTGGGCTTGAGCTTTAAGACCCTCATCCTAGCTGCCTAGAAGTCAGATTTCTCCTAGCAGCTTCCAGATGGAGATGTCGAACTCTCAGCTTCTCCTGCACCATGCCTGCCTGGATGCTGCCATGCTCCCACCTTCATGATAACGGACTGAACCTCTGAACCTGTAAGCCAGCCCCAGTTAAATGTTGTCTTTATAAGAGATGCCTTGGTCATGGTGTCTGTTCACAACAGTAAAACCCTAAGATAGCTAGTAACTTTTTATGTCACCTAACTTTTAATTTTTCTTTGCAAAAATGTTGTAAGATGGAAGGTTATATGTGTTCAGTGAAAGAGCTTATATATAATGCACTGAAAAATATACTTAACTCTTATGTGCTTATGTGGATTTTACTAGATAAATTACAGTTTGTCTTTTTTTTTTTTTTTCGAGACAGGGTTTCTCTGTATAGCCCTGTCTGTCCTGGAACTCACTCTGTAGACCAGGCTGGCCTCAAACTCAGAAATCCGCCTGCCTCTGTCTCCCAGGTGCTGGGATTAAAGGCGTGCGCCACCACTGCCCGGCTACAGTTTGTCATTTTTAAAAGGCATGCTTGACCAGGTTTAGTGGTGCATGCTTTTACTTCTAGCACTGGGGAGGCAGAGCCAGGTGGATCTCTGTAAGTTCGAGGCCAAACTGGTCTACACAATGAGTTCCAGACCAGCCAGAGGTACATAGTGAGACCTTGTGTCAAAAACCAGACATTCTCACTGTGGATTCATCTAGATATCCATAAGACAATAGATTGTTGCTTTGCAGGAAGGATTAGGTAGGAACTGATTTATTACAAACTGCAAAGAAAACACATTTTTTAAAATGTGTTTTGTTTTTAGGAATGTAGTAATTATACCTCTGTGTACCTTTGCCCCTGGTATTGAGGCTGTCCATGCTGGGAACTATTGGGTGTCTCTAAAATTATTAGTCCCCTAAGACCTGGAGGATCATAGGACTTTTTCCTAGTATTTAAAGACCCAAATCTGCCTTAGTTTTGGTGTGTAGAAGGATGCCTGGACAGGTAGTGGACCTTAGAAGGATCTAGTTCTTCCCATCAATCCCAGTGAGGGTGTATAATATATTACTGTAGATTCCTTCACAGTTCCACAACACCTCTTCTGTGTGTGCTAGCCTCTCCTCTTTATCTGTCAGTCTCTTCCTGTGCTCTTTTTTTCTTGGTTTCATATGTCTCCCAGCCTCACCCATGATACAACTCAAGGTTGTATGTTTGTCCTTTTGACCCCAAAGGCCAAGAGTAATTGGATTAAATTATAAGAATCTATAATTACTTAAGTACTGTGACCAGTCTAAGACCAGCCTTGGGCTCAGTTTGCTGTGGTGATCTGACTCTCCTGAATCTTTCTATCCTGGTCTCCCCATAGACCAGCAAAGCTCTCCTATAATAGGTTCAAGACTTATGAATAGCTTGGGCCCATGGGTATAAATAATAGAATGTAGGGAGCCACCAGTTTGTATACTGTGTGTCATGGATCCTCATGTACCATGTGCATTTCAGCAGTGCTAGGCTATAGCTAACCTCTTGGCTGCAGTAGAGAAGTTGGTGTGCAATCTGACAGCATCCGGGAGATATGCTGTATGATGTGGGCCTCCTAGGACCACATGCACCATCCTCAAGTAGAGGTCTTCAAGGAAAGGTCTGTGCACTTGTCTTGAGCAGCTGATATATCTGGGGAAAGGTGTAAAATTGCTGTGTTCAGTGAGAAGATGGAAGTATGCAAAATTCTTCAAAAGACTTGTTCTATATAAGTATTTTTCTACCACTTCCTGGTCTGTAGTAAGATGGCACAGAGAAATATGACCCATCCAGAACCAGCTCAGTGACTAAGGAGCAGCCAGATGACTGACTGTTCAATGCCTCTCCCACCTCTGATTATCTATACATGCAGAAAGAGCAACCTTGTTTTTCTTCTGTGTTCCAGGGTAATTCCAACAACATTGCTACCATCGACATTTCAGCAGGCTTTGTGGGCTTAGATACCTACATGGAAGTTCCAGCCATATTCCTCACAGTATTTGGAACATATGTAGGACCTGTGCTCTGGGCCAGCCACCTTGTGTACTTCCTGAGCTCAGAAGGAAACAAGTAAGACGCTTACTTTGTCTTTCAGAACAAATGTGATTGCAGTTTGTCTGTTTTTAAGAGTAATAACATTATTTTATATATAAGACATCTGAATTCCAAAAGTTAGAGAATCTTATTACTGATTTTCTTTTATAGAGCAAAGACCCGAGTCAGGTCTGAGGGGCTCTGTTGACAAAGTTTAAGTTTTTCAGTTCAAACAACACAAGAAAAAAACCCATAAAGAAAGCCATGTGGCAAAACCAGAGGAGAAACAGAGCCAGACACCGGCAAAAGCAAGAATGTGCAGTCTTGATGTCACTGGGATCAGCAGAGGAAACTTGGAGATATTCCATAGCAAGAGATACTCTTATGATCTCAGTCAGGAACTGGGAATGGGGATTGGGAAACTCCAAGCTCAGCTCTGAGCCACTTCATGTTCTTCCGCTCATTTTTCTATTCTGAGGGCAAGGAGACAAAAGACATGGGCTCTGGCCCTCCAGAAACCCTTTTGATGGTGCAGGAAGAGTGTGTTAGGAGGAGCTGCTGACTGAACAGATTCTGAGTCTGTGAGCAGCTAAGAGTGCTGCGTCTTGACAGAAATGACAGCTGAATAGAAGTACAAGGTGGCACACAAATTCAGGTACAGGTGAATGGCACTCTTTGCCTAAGCCAGTCTAGGCTCTTGTGCCTAGCACGGAGGCACTTCCCAGGGTCTAGCGTGCTCAAGGTTCCCACTCTTGGGGTGCGGCTAGCTTTCCAGGCTTGGTCAGCATGATCTAATCCGTCCCTTCCTGTTTTCTCTATAGTATCCCACTATCTCATTTTTGCTTCTAGTTGTTGATTTATATGTTGTTCTTCTCTGAAAGAAGGCTCCATGAGAGCTTCAGAGTCATCTAGGAGTTCACTACCACTGCTACTAGCCATATGTTCTTGGACCCAGCTGTGCCTATTTACTTCTTAGTGTGCCTGAATCATGGAAAGCTATCCTCCTGTGACACTGGACCTGCCTCTCATGCATTGGATGGGCATAGCTCTCTCAGCACAGAACCTTACTCTGACTAGAGGTTCCAGACCTCTCAAGTACCATGTCCCAGGTGCACAAGTGAAGTTGGGGCTCCCCAGTTCCCTCCCCTCTGCCTATTTGTGATTAGAAGAGTGGCTCTTGCTGTGGTGACTGTAGGGGATAACCCCTCCTGGGATGTCTCCAGGTTTCTGCTGCTGACCACAGAGACCTGCAGGCTGCATACCCTTGTTCCTGCCAGTGTCATTGTGGTTCTGCTTCTCCTCTTGCTTTATTTTTTAGTTTCTTTGATGGATTTATTCTCAGTCGTTCATGACCTTGGCCTGAGGTCTCTTCTTAGCTCCAGACTCAGTATCTAACCTCCTGTTGGTATCTCTATGAAGGGACCTAGATAGCATTGGACTAAGCAAGCCCAAGACTAGAATGACATACTAATTCACTGGTTCTGCATTTCCCTCAGGTAAAGATATTCAAACGTAACCACAGAAATCTCTCAAGCTAGACAAGAAACTATAGTGGCCTCAGCCAGAGAGAAAAGCATCCTCCTTGGTAAACCCCATTTGGATTGTAGAGAGAAACAGATAACGTCCCACAACTTGCTACTTTGCTATTCAGGGGAGGAAACATTTTCTAGTAAGGCTGTAGACTTGAGAACAGGAATGCCTGAATTTTACCTGCCTGTAGCTGTTCATGCCTGTACTTTGAGGCAGTCTACAAACACTCTCTCTTAAATTATACAACCTAAATGTGGTTTACCAATATAATATATGTTACATGAGGCTGCTGGGGACAGAATCTGGAAGTTGTGGTTTATGTAAGCTGCCTGCTAGCAACAACGCAGAAGTACTGTGCTGATATTATAAGAGCAATATGCACAATATTTCACATGGATAATGCTAAAAACTGTCCCACAAGTCAGTGCCATGTGGAAAGCCAGTACTATGTGCTGTCAGATAAGAAAGAAGCTCCATTTGGTAGGTCACTGGCTCAGCACAGATGTCCAGTCTGTGCTCACTAGAGGGGAGCCAAAGCTCTTTATCCACAAGGCTGTACTGAGTACTTGCTTTTTGGAACACTGGTGTATTATTCATGAGGCAGTGACAGTCACTTGGGCTATGACAAGATGACCCTTCCCCTTGGGCCAGGTAAACAAGTAGGGACTAGCAGTTCAAGCATGAGGAGTAAAACAACGGAAGTACTGGAGCCATCTGTGGAAGGGGTCAAGTGTGATCTAACAGTTGGAGAACTAAACAGGAGAAGATGTGTCAAGAGCAAGATGGGAAGTCAGTGAAGACTGGGGTGCTGTTATGGAAGAGAGGTTAGCTAAAGCAGCCCACCAGTGACACCACTTGGAAAAATAGGGGGCTTGGTGCTTAGAACTGTCTCGTCTTTTGGCCACTGAGTAGTGGCCAACATTGGATAATGAACATAGAGATAGGAAATGTTTGGGGGATGTCCTAAAATAGTGGAGTTGCCTGATCAATAGGACTGAACATGCTTTACAGAACGTGCTCACCCAGGTGCTCACAGTGCACAAATAGCCATGTGCACACACTTGTTGCTCTATCTCTGAGCGCATACCCTAGCAAGGCATGTCTTGCCATTCATGTGCTACATTCAGACACATCATTCCTGCCATACGAACCTTTCCTTGTGCTTTTAAGCCATAATACAAGCATTACATAAAATACATTTTATTCTTACAAGTCTGCAATAATCCTAGATTTGTAAGTTCCATAGCTCTTGCTTATACATCCTATCCATAGCCTCTGATCATTCATCCTTCTGATCAGAGATGGAAAGGAGAGCTTCTGACATAAGGCAATGGCCTTTTATAACTAACATACCTCCACAGGAAATGGAGCTTCTGTGGTTTACAAGTGTTTGGAGCTGTTTATAAGAGCTCAAGGGCAGATGTTGCCCTTCTCATTACATTTGCTATGTTTTGTTGCTTTCTGGATTTTCTGAATTTATTAGGTTTTACCTCTTCCTTTCTTTTTTTTGTTTTGTTTTGGTTTTTTTCGAGACAGGGTTTCTCTGTGTAGTCCTGGCTGTCCTGGAACTCACTCTGTAGACCAGGCTGGCCTCGAACTCAGAAATCCGCCTGCCTCTGCCTCCCAAATGCTGGGATTAAAGGTGTGCACCACCACTGCCCAGCTTACCTCTCCTTTCTAAAGAAATAATTTCTAGTCTTAAATTTTTATTACATTTATATATTTGGTGTGTGTGTGTCTGTGTGGTATGTGACACACATATAGGTTAGAAGACGACTTGTAAAAGTCAGTGTTCTTCTACCATATGGGTCCTAGGAACTGAACTTTGTCAGGCTTAGCAGCAAGTGCCTTTCTCCCCACTGAGCCATCTTATCAGCCTAGTTTTGTCTTTCCTTGTACACTGTTAGGACAGTTATCATCATATCCTGTGACCCAACAAGTATACAAAAGAGTGGTTGGGATGCCCTCTAGTCCAGAAGCAAGTGTCTGTTGTTATTTGTAAAGTAGAGGTATGGATGAAGTGTTCTTGTGCCATGCTCTGACATATGTTTTCTATTTTGTTAATAGTGGTTCAGCACTGAGCCGTGCTTGCTTCTGCTATGCACTGATTTGCTCTGTTCCCGTTGCCACATACATTGTCCTGGTGACATCTCTGCGCTATCACTTATTCATATGGAGTGTATTTTCTCCAAAGCTTCTCTATGAAGGAATGCATCTGCTCATCACGGCTGCCATTTGTGCAGTATTCACTGCCACAAACCAGACTCGCCACATGAGGGCTTAGGTGGAAAGAGGTGTTTGGAGCTGATGTACTGTTCAGTTACGTTTGCATCATGGGTTTGAGTCTTGAACTGCTTAGACACAAGATTATTCTGAGGTGGAAAAAAAGCATGTGACGTCTGTGAAATGAGTGGATGATGTAATCTTACTTAGATTTATATTAAATAGCAGATTAACAAAAGACCACCTTAAATACTTATGTATTAAAATTTCCCTATTGATAATCACTCTTCTGAAATTTCAGAAATTTTAATTTCCTCTGAGTAAGTTGTGACTATATATGCTTAAATTGATGGAAGAAAAAGTTCTGGACTTTGTCATTATATTTATCTCAGAGAGCCCAGGAGCCCTGTAGGAGGAGGTGTGTGTGCTACAGGGATACATCAAAGACCTCAGAATTCTAAGAACTCTTCAAATCAGAGCCAGTAGCATTTGAAATGAAAACTAAATCATTTCAAAGCATTATTCATTTAAAAAATAACGTGTTGGTGGACAAGGTATAACATACTTGCATAATCCCAGTACTTAAGAAGGCAGAACCAAGAATATTATGATTTCCAGACTGCTTAGGCTGCATAGGTTAACCACATCTCAACTCCTCCCCATCATCAATAAAAACTATTCTATATTAATATAACAAAATAATTATATTTTTCAAAACAAATATTTAATGAGAAAAATAATATTTGTTATGTTTTTACAAATGTCTTAAATGACTCACTCAATTGAAGACAGTTTGAATCCACATTTGATCTGTTGTAATTTATAGTTGAAAAATAAGGAATCCAGCCTCACTCAAATCTGTGGTTAGAAAAGTGTCTCTGTCAGCTTGAATATTGTGCTTTGATACCAAAACAAAAATTGGCAAGTGGTATATAGGATCTTATTGTTGTTGAGACAAGATCTCTCAGATTTTTGATTCTGCCTCAGTCTCCCAAGTGTTAGAATTACAGGTATACATCAGCACGCCTGGTTTCAGATGTTAGCTCTTCCAAGTTAGTTGGAATGAAATGAGGGAGATAGTCAATGTGTGCAGGTTAAACGAGTGATCTGATTAGGGTCTTATCTTCAGTTTAAATATATTTCAGTCATGTCATATTAAAGAGGCCTACCCTTGAGCCAGTAGAATTGTGTCTAGATCATCATGGACTCTGCTGACAACAGAACTGATCTGCCAGGCAAGATATGCCCCTAATATGATAGTAACATGAAGATTATGGTAGTAACTAACCATTTTATGGTTGGTTTTGAAGCCTCCTCTGTATCATGCTGTGAACCTGATCAAAAGCTCATGGCCAGAGAGGTCATAGGCTCTAAAAGAAAACCTGCTAGTGTTTCTCAAAATGGATATAGTGTCACACTGTCTTCTGTTTACTATCCACAGATTAGGGCTGCTTTTAACCTTGGTCAGAAAAGCTGACAGTGGTTAAAAGACTTATAACTTGGCCATGTGTGGAGAATAATTGACTATTGAATCTTTTGTCCTAAATGAACCGTCTGTCTCTCTGTTTCTATCTCTTTCTGTGTCTCTGACTGTCTCTCTGTATGTCTCTCTCTCTTTCTCTCTCTGTCTCTCTCTGTCTCTGCCTCTCTCTGTCTCTCTCTCTCTCTCTCTCTCACACACACACACACACACATACACACACACACACACACACACACCAAGAATCAAGTAACATTGTAGAAGAAACAGAAAGAATGGAAGGGCTAGAGAATGAGGAAAGGTATTGTGGTGAAACTCTGTGATTATCTAAGACCATTTAGCTCCTGACATTTTAACATGAATAAGGAAAGGGCACCTGGGGTACCACCCCTAGCTGAAGAGCTATTGTTAGTTAATTGCTGTTGGAGAAGGAGTCATTTTTTTTTCAGACATATAGCCACTAATAAGTTGCCTATGATCTAGTAAATAACCACATACACATATAAGTAACCCTAATTAAACTCTGTTAACTAGTGGGGAAAGGCATAAAAGGAGGAAGATGTGTTAGGAAGAAGAGTTCTAGAGGGAATAGAAAGGGTTTAAGAGAGGAAGATAGGGGTAAAAATGGTCCAAGTATATATATATAGATGTATACAATTATCAAAGATTAAATACTATATTTTAAAAGGGTAAGTTATGTTAAGTCTATGTGTATATATACTATAGCTTCTGAGTTTAAAAAGGAAAAGAAAAATCCACAGTGTATTTGGTATCATAAAAAAATATAGTTTTATTATCTATCTTATTTTCTAAAGGAAATAAATAATATGATTTCTTTGTTGTTTAGACATTTAAATTCCTTAGATGTTTTAATAAAAACAAGTTGTATTACCTCATGACATTAACTTTTGTCTGTTTCTTTTGGCAAATGCTAGGGGGTCAAACTTAAGACCTTGGCCATACTAAGTGAACAGCCAGACCTAAAGCCAGGCCCTCATCGCCAGGGCCTCCAGGAACAGTGGGGTAACTGGGAAATTGGAAAAAGCTTGGATGACTCAGTCAAGCATATCTATTCTGACATGCTTGGTGTCTAAACCCACTTCCTCTTATTTGTCAGGAACTTTAGGATTAGCCTTCCTAAAGGATCCATGTATTCAGCCAACTTCAAATGTTTGTCTATGCTGATGTTTTAGCAAGGATGGAGCACCTCCTCCTGGAAGCCTAACAGACTCCCTTCTCTCCCTTTCCTAATCAGGTTGGCTCCCCTCCTCCTTGATGCTTTGCATTTCCCTCATATCTCTGGCTCTTACATCATCACTTTACCTAACTCAAGGCTTTGTTGATAATGGCAGGGAAGGAAATTCACAAAAGTGCCAATAACTTTGTTTTGTTCCTGATTCTTTCAGTGTGGTGAAATGAAACATACACACATATCTCTATTGTCCTTTTGCATCCATCATGGATACAGCACTGCATTTTATTCTTGTGAGCAGTGATGCATAGAATAGTAAAGCTGGGTGTGTGCTGCACGCCTGTAATACCAGCACTTGAAAGACTGGAGTACAATAATCAGAGCTGGTTTGCTTCTAAAGACATTTTATTTTTATTACTTTTAAAATTATCTGTAGCTGTGTATATCTGTTTGTGGGTTTGTGCATGTTAGTGCAGGTGCCTATGGAGACCAGACAGTGTTGGAGCCCTTGGAGCTGGACTTACAGAAGAGCGAGAGCTACCTGATGTGGGTATTGAGAATTGAACTCAGGTCTTCTGAGTCATCTTTTTAACTCTGATCAAAAGTTCTTTTCTTTTTTTGAGACAAGGTCTCGCTATGTAGCCTTGATTCATGTGTAGACCGGGCTAGCCTCAAAATTGTACAAATCCTAATCAGAAGTTCTTTGTTACCTTCACAGCTCCTGGAAATCAGCTGTTGTCAACAGTTTGTGGTGAGGAGAGGTAGTGGCAACTGGGTTGGGGTGGAGAAGGAATCCAGAATTGTTAAGTCCATTTGTCACAAAATTTGCTAAAGTTTAAATTTACTAAAGTAAAGTTTGCTAAAACTGAGCTAAAGGTGAATTCAAATACATAAAATACAAAATTTATAAAAATTCAGTATTTAATCTTTAAACTTTGCTTTCATAATACAGTTTACTTTTAATTACTTTCTTAGCATATAAAATGGTTTTCATTTTGACATTTCCATAAATGTCAAAATGTTCTTCCTTCGTATCCATCCCATCGCTTTCCTCTGCTCTCCTCCTCTCTCCTTACCCCAAGATGATCTTGCATTCCAACTAAAATAACTTAAAAATAAAGGCCTTACCAAATGAGGTTCCACAGACCTCCCCCAACATAGCAGGGGACTGCACTGCTTTTGTTTGTCCCTCAGAACTTGATCGTAAGACCCCGTTACTGATGACACCACATATTTGAGTCATAAACATGGAAAAATCAAGGGATGATGAAGAGAGCTTCATCCCTACCGGCTGGCTTCCACAGCACTGGAAGATGCTATGCTTGCTACCAAAGGGGGAAAGTGTTTATCACTCTCACCTAGCTACAGTCATGACTAGTTTGGCTGCCTGGTGGAATAGTGGTATGAACATTACAGGAGTAACCAAGCAAGCTCTGACTACATCTAAGGCCCGCTCCTTAAGATGGAACCCATACCTGGCACAATTGATGAAGCCAAGAACTGTGGCTAGACAGGTTTCGGTCTTTAAGGGAGAATTTACTATGATTATTTTGTTAAACGGACTTAGTGTTAAAACGGTAAGTTATAACTTATGCTATACCCATAGATCAGTGCGTCTCTCAACGCTCAGCGGAGGACCTGCTTGTGGTAGATGACAATTAACACAGAAACCCACAAGTGGTCAGCTTGCAGAGAATAAGACTCCAGAGTGCTCAGCCTTAAATGGAACATCAGCATCGTACCCCTCTCCCCAAAGGTCATGGATCTTCATGAAATAGGGGTTGGGCAACCTTTGTTAGCTCAAGTCAGATGAAAGACAAACGTGGAGGACTGAAGGTGGGCTGAGTGTTGGGCTATTGGCATTTGATAACTGCTAGGAGTGGGAGAGCCAGCTTACTTTAATGGTATCACCTTGGGCCACTCAGACCCCAAAGCAGGACACACCCTCAAGAATAGCTGGGCAATATAAATTAGACTCAATGGGTTTTTAAAAGAAAGTAGGGGGAGCAAACAAAAACATGAAGTTAGGTGGGAAGGGGGTAAGTATGGATCTAGGAGGAGCGGGGGTGACTAATCAAAATACTGGAGTGTAATTTGGGGGTCTGGAGAGATGGCTCAGTAGTTAAGAGCATTGGCTGCTTTTCCAGAAGACCCAGGTTCACCCACATGAAACATTATAACTGTCTGTTACTCCAGTTTTAGTAGAACTAACACTTTCTTCTGGCCTTTTGGAGCACAGCACACATGTGGTACACAGACATATTTGCAGGCAAAACTTTGATACACATAAAATAAAAACAAATAAAATTAAAAATAAAGAAATTTACAAAGACTTAAAATATTACTTTTAAAAAATCAGGCCTTAGACAATTTTATCATGAATGTCATCACTGGAGACTAAATTGTACTTTTTCATTATTCTATTATTATAAATACAAAACTAACATCCAAATTCATTAAATGAATGAGTGGAGGGATGGCTAAGTCAGTAAAGTGCTTGCTCTGAAAGCATGAGGCTCTGAGTTTGATCCTTATAATCCATGTGAAAGCACCAGGCATGGTAGTGCACATTTGTAATCCCACTGGTGAAGGGCAAACAGGCTCTCTGTGGCTTGCTAGCTAGTCAGTCTAGCCTGATTGATGAGCTTAGGCCAATGTGAGACTCTGTCTCAAAGGAAGTAGAAAGCCTACCTGAGGATGACATTTGGGATTGATCTTTGTCTCCACATGCGTGTAACATGTCCATATGCACATGGGCCACAGGAACATACATACACACACAAACACCACTGAGCTGGACAGTGGTGGTGCAAGCAAGCAGATCTCTGTGAGGCCAGCCTGGTCTACGGAGTGAGTTCCAGGACAGTCAGGGGTACACATTAAAACCCTGTCTCAAACAACAAAACAAGGACAAACAAAACAAAATGAAAAAAAAATTGATAGAACTCAAACTCATGGCTGGCTTGATGGCTCAGCCATTAAGAGCACTGGTTGCTTTTCCAGAGGTCCTGAGTTCAATCCCCAGCAATCACATGGTGGCTCATGGCCATCTATAATAAGATCTAATGCCCTCTTCTGGTGTGTCTAAAGACAGCTACAGTATACTCACATTAAATAAATAAATAAATAAATAAATAAATCTTTAAAAAAAAACAACTCAAACTCAATTCCTATTTCTAATTAGCAATAATCGTGATAAAACTCAGCAAGCTAAAGTCAGAATAAACTTCCTTAATTTGTTTTAAAGTGTCTACTGAGAATCCCAGCAAATCTATCTTGATCGCTTACCTCAGAGACCTTGGGCCTGTATCTCCTTACCCTCTCTACTCAGATGGGTGTAGATTCTAACAAGTCCAATGAGACCAGAAATACACTGAGAGTTTGGAAGGCAAGAAAGAAGTATCACTACTCATTAGGTGATAGAGAAATGTAGAAGGAGCTAAGATAGGAGGAGTAAGGAGGAGAGGAGGAGACAGAAGAGGAGGAGGCTAGGAGAGAGGAACGAGGGGGGGGAGGGAGGAACATGGAGGTGGTTGTTCACATGTCTGTAGTAGTCAAAGATAGTTGGTATATCTAGGTTGGGTATTGGGTTACGCTTCTGATTGTATGGGCATCTTGTTACTGATCATTACCACATATATATATGAGCTTTTGGATAATTTAAGCATTAGTGTCTCATTTTCCTACTGGGCCAGCATGGATGGAGGAATGGTCTGGGCAATGCCCAGCCTTG